TGCATCCCTGCGGGCTGCAGGAGCACTGCAGCCCCACCATGGTCTCCCCACTGCCTGCAGAGGAATCTCGGCTCTGGAGCCTGGAGCATCTCCTCAGCCTCAGTCTGCAATGCCCATGGAGCCTGCAGGTGGTTCTCCTCACATGTGCTCACTCCTGCTTTTCTCTAGTCCAAATTAAAACTGTGTCACAACTTGATTGTGGTTTCTTCTTAAATCTGTTACCACAGAGTTGTAACGACCATTTCTAATTGGGCCAGCCTTGATAAGGTGCCAGAACAATCTGTCATGTCCGGCAGAGCCAATGCCAGTGGGCTCCAGGGTGGACATCCACCTTTAGGAGCCATCAGGGATTGGTTCTGTGAAAAATGCTAATCACTTGTTTTTAAAATTTTAGAATTTTAATAGTAATAAAATGGTAATAAAAAAATAGTAACACAGTTAGAGTAATAATAATTTGGACAATTTGAATTAGGAGAATATGAGACAATAAATACAAAGAGTTACGGACGTCTGGGTACCTTTTTCTGGACAGCACGAGCCTGAAAAAGGACACCCATTAACAGAGGATTAACCCTTAAAAGCAATAGCTTGTTGCATAGTCATACAGTTCATACATGATGCATAAATTCCATTCAAATACAGGATTCTGTCTGGCCATCGTCAACTTCTTCCTCCGAATCCTAACAGCGCCTTCGAGGCAGGAAGAAGTTTATTTCTTCTGATAAGAGGGCAATAAATTCTTTTTCTCTGCAAGATTCAGGTGTCCTGTGGCTGCTATCTCGGTGCGAGTCCTTTCTTTAAAAAAAGTATCCTACATAGCATCGTTTCTATTTTAATATTTTTTATAACCTAAAACTATATTTAACACTGTACTAAAGAGAATTAATACAGCATTGCTTTCTGACACAACACATATAATATTCATTTTAATATTTGTGAAAAGCCATTCATAAAAGACATGCATTTTTCACACTTTATTCTGGCCAGAATGTTGTTCTGGCCAGGATGTGCAACAGAAATCATTTCAGCCACACATTGCCCAGGTGTGTAGAGAAAATAATTCCATGACATATGAATTTTACTAGATTGTTTTCCTAGACTTTATACAGTCAAAACGCATAGAAATTAATTCATTCAATGTTCATTGTTCCCAAGTTATGCAGGTCTTAGTATTTGGTTTCTTACTGGTTACAGATGTCTTCCCACCGATGCTAATTTATTGCTCATTCCTTGGTGTTCTTATGAGTCTTTTCCAGACCAGGTGTCTCCAACTCCATCACCAGGGGTGATGTTTGGAGTTGATGATCATTAATGATCATTACTGGTCATTATCTTTTGTATATCTTCTGTGCTACTCCCAGTCTGTTGACATGTTTTGTTTTTGTTGACTTTTTTTTGCTGTTTTGTAACCTGCGCTTGGCAGGGGCCTAGGGCATCCTAGTCCAGGCTCTTGGCTCCAACTGCCTTCTTCCACTGCAATTATCCTTGCACGGAAAGTGTTACGCCACAGACTGTACAATGAGACAATTCCTGAAACAGAAATGAATTCCAGCTATGGAAAATGTCACTGACATATTTAGAAATACTTCAGCAAAGACCTTGGAAAAAGCTTGGGAAAGGTGATGTGTGATTACCTGAGACCCAGGAAACAGAGCTGAAGGTGGAGAACAAGCAGATAGCAAACAGCTTCCACTTCTTCTTGCTCCAGCCACTACTGCAAGTGCAGCTTCCCTGGAATTTCATGTCCAGTGTGTCTTCCAAGCTCAAAACATGAACAAACAGGTACCCCAGCACCACAGAGTACAGGTGTACTTTGACACCACAGACCCACCATGAGAACTGGAACCCAAGGTCAAATCTAAAAATTGTCCTTCCAGCTTCCTCCCACTTGGTGCTCTTATCTTTTGATTATTCCTGACTTTTCCAGTGCTATGCCTAAGATGATCCTTCGGGCACCAGAAGTACACATCCAATTCAGGGAACACCAAGTTATCCCTGGGCTGCGAAACAAAAGACAAGAAGTATTGAAAAATCATCCCTTGCCTTGAGGGTGTCCAGTCCTGGGAGTATGTCCTTCCCACCACCCTTTTGGCTTTTTTCCAGTCCGAGTAATTCTGGAAATGTACATCCAAAGTATCCAAATGTACAACCCAAGTTAGACACATTGGAGTGTGTTCTGCACACCAGAAACCACAGCCCCAAGTACTAAGAGTCTGAATATGCTCTGGATTGCAATTCACAACCTCAGCAGAGCCTACGTGGTAAAGCCTCCTCCAAGAGAGGAAAACACATGACATGTCAGCCCTTGTGGCAGCTGCGTCACTGAGTAAGGTAACGCATTGGGTCTTACTCTGATACTGTAAAATACTACAAACCCTGTGGATCTGAGGTTTAAAAGTTACTTTTAAGTCAACAAAAAGGTCTCTGAGACAATTCACTGAATTCACGGCTAGACCCCAAAATATGTTTCCGAGTGCATAAAAACCTGTATGAAAAGAAGAACACAAAGCTTCCCACATGCATTTTATTGTATTTCCAGCAAACATTTTAAGACAGTTCACATCAGAATGAGGTCACTTGGTGCCAGCACAGTGTTAGAACAGGCACATCAGGAGACTCACCTGAAAATATTCACTACAGACCCTACATCCTATCACTCCATCTGCAGCATCCTCATTTCTCACAGACACTCAGTTGACTCCCATTAGTAAATGGATCGCTGTTCCCAGAAGCAAATCCCCAGAGTGATTTTTTACTCTCTGCAAACAGCAGGAATGATTGAAGACAGCTGCTGTCATAGGGGAAAAAAAAAGGAAGATTTTTGTGATCCGACATCTTTAGCTATGAGGGCTTTATTTTCTACCTGGAACCACTAAGCTGCTCTGCCTTGGTACTATCCACCTACTTCCAAATGCCTCCATGGTGTTCATCTCTTTGGATCTGCCATCTCCCCCACTCTGACAGGAAGCACAGCTCTGACACCACAGCAAGTGTCGAACACATGAACAGGTACAGGCAGGGACTCACGAAGTCCAGCAGGTTTTGCAGCACAGCTTATTGTGCTTCATGGCTTCAGGTTTTTTGTTACAAATTCACTGCAGTTTAACCTAATCAAAAACATTTGGCAAGACTTAATAATCCAGAGAATCCAGTGAACCACCAATGTGGTATCGCAGCCAGTTCAGCTGAGTTTTGTGCAAGAAAAACTGTGTGTTTGAACCTTTATTGAATCCTGTTCCAGTGATTTTTTGCTTTTCTTTTTCTCCATGACAATGTGAGGGCTTTTGGTTTCTGGCTGCATAAATCTCAGGCAGTATCTGAAAGAAACTTCACAGTTTGGGTTTTCTGGGAAAGCCAAATCTACCTGGATTTATGTAGCCAGAAACCAAAACCTTTCCCCAAAACATTTTATATATTCCTATAATTATTTTATATACATATAAACATATAAATAAATGTAATATAAATAACATACAAAAATATTAGAATATACTGAAATAAACAGGGCCAGGAGACTTCTTCTCCTTTTTAATGCCTTTATTAAAAGTGATCAGCTCAGGATTGGGCGGCTCGGCAGGGCTGCAGTCCCCGTCGCGTCTCCCAGGGCGACTCAGAGGAGGAGGATATGCGCAGCTCTGTCCGCTAGGAGCAGAGCCGGGGGATCCGGTCCTCGTGGGAGCCTTTAGGGCTTGATGTCCCCGTCAGATCTTACTCCTCTCAGCCTCGTTGGCCCAGTCTCACCGCCAGGGACGACTCCCATGGTCAGGGCGAGAGGGACTCCGCATCTCTGCAGGCTCAGCAATCGGCTCCTCATGTCCAGACATCACTTTAGTCTCTCAACTCTTATTTGGCTCATTGTTTTTGGGGTTTTCTCGTTGCATTTTGGAGTTGAGGTCCCAAAGCATGCCGGTCTTGGAGTCACTTTGCATAACCCCCCCCACCCTCTCAGGTGTCTTCCCTATGCTGGAAGAGAGCACAGTCTTGGGGTAAGGCCATCACCCCACCCAGCCAGGGCTTTTGCTAATACAAAAGAGGAGATAAACTACAAGGACTCGTGATTACAATAACAAAGCACTAAGAACCCTGACAGAGACAGAGATCTGGCTGCGTCCCTGTAACTCTTTCTCACAAAAAAATATTAACCGAATTTTTGTTCATAACATATACTATATATAAAATATAGAAAAAAATTAAATACATATGTAATTTATATATACTCATCTATTCCGACTATGTGCACTTACTCTATAGAATACCTATTTATACTTAGAGATCTATTGGCATGTATCTGTTTAACTTATTGTCCTGGTTTAGGGCAAATTTGTTAAAGAATCTGCAAAGGAGGGCCCCCTCCAGAAAGCAAACCCACACGGCCCCTCCCCCCAACCGGTTCGGGAAGAATTCCTCAGAGATAAGGGGAAAGAACCTGTTTCTTTACCAGACACAGCACCCCCCAGCACACAAACTATACCAGATGACACCGCTCTGGAAAAGATGGCAAAATCAGAAAGTCTCTTTCAGGGATGGTTGCTCTGTTCTCAGTCCCTCCGGCGCTGGGCAGCTGCTGCAGCCAAATGGTGCAAACCCTCGGTGTTCCCAGGTCCCAGTCCGGAGCAGGTTTGAGATGGTCACAGCAACAGGAGAGGAGAAACAGTCCAGGAAGGAATTTGGACTGTTTAGCTAAACTAGCTAATAAGCAGAAGCAAAAGCGAGAGCAGACAGACAGCAAGCAAGCAAGCAAAAGCAGAAAAGCCAAAAGCAAAAAGCAAAAAGCGAAAGCAGCCCTATGTACTGCCCATCTCTGCGTCCCTGATAAGAGAAACCCAAACAAAACTTTCACTCCTCAGAGCCGGTCTTAAAGGCACAGAACAGATGAATGGGGATACAAGCATCATAACGTCACCCCAGGACATTCCACCCCTAATGGGTGGACACATATATAAACCAGGACACTTATATATAAGTTATTTATAAAAAATATATATTTAGACTGTTTCGACTTGTGTATTTTGACTCTTCAGTATCAGACTTGTCTATTTCTACTTAGATATCTACTTACATCGCCCTGCTGACACTAGGAAATGGATGATCTCCTCAAAGAGCTACCACAGCAGCTGGGACCTGTGCCTGGAGCTCCCAAGTTGCTCCTGAGAACTGCACACGCACCAGGGCCGGTTGCGAGGCAGAAGCAGCCGCTGAAAGCGCCACCGAAGCGCTCTGACTCACAGGACTGGATGTTCCCTATTGGACAGCAGCGTAAGTGTAAAAAGCCACGGCAAACGCACAGCCAACGTCGCGTCTCTGCGCATCCGCACATTTTAGTTGCGGTGCCGTTTTTAGTCTGCAGGTGTCACTACGGAGCCATTAAAAATGGTGGATGTGCATAATTCCTCGTGCTTATCAACAGGTGACAGCAGCCAAGATCTCAGATGGCGTTTCAGTGACACAAAAAAGCTTTGAATACATAGATCGATTTCTATTGCCTTCATAGGGATCATATTTTCTCCTGTTTTCAAGCCCTTTATTATTTAATTTATACATACAAATGTTCTATTTTCATTTTCGAACCCTATATATCTGTATTTGGAATTTCTTATTCTCTAAGATCCTTCATATAAAGCAGTACATATGGAGTTGTATTTGGAAATCAATTTTTATATAAAGAAGAAAAGTTGCCATTTTTAACTGCCCTAACCACTACTGCTAACCATTACCCCAGACTACTCTAACCACTGACCTTAGAACTACCCTAACCACTGCTCTTAACCACTACCCCTGACCACCATCCTAACCATTACCTCCCACAACTAAATGCAACTGGGCAACCCAGCCTCCTGTAGGCAGATCAGGTGGCCCCCAGGAGTCCAAGGTCAGACAGAGCTATAGCTCCTGGCAGCTTTCTTCTGGGAGAAATTCTCATTCTTTCACAGTTCTAGGAGGCAGAATCCCACTTTCAGCCACAGGCCCCTGGCCTTTCAGTGCAGCTCTTTTCTCCAGCAAGGAAAGCCCAATGCCCGAATGTCTTTGGGACAGCTGAGGCACGGCCCCTTAGATACCAAGGCCAGTGATACCCATCAGTCCTGTCAACTTCCATGGCACCCATGACTGAAAGTGGGAGTCCATCTCCTAAAGCTGCAAACTGTCACCCTGTTTTTCTAAGTTTTTCTTAGCCTTCTGATGTTTACATTCTTGTAACAAACTTTCTCACACACTTTATGTAAATAACTTATTGGTTGGCATTCTTTTATGGAGGAGGAGAAATTTGATGGACTGCTGGTTTGTCCAATGTCATTGGAGAGGTGGCACTTTCACCCTCCAATCCACCGTCACTTTTGTAAATCTATAAATGTTGGAGTCAGAAATTAAAAGCTGTCTTTTTTACTTTGGGAGATATGTATCTCCACGTCATGTTATTTCATGTGCTATACGACAGCAAACATCTGAAGATTGCTTCCTGACAGAAGCTCCACAACTGGAAAAGGGCTTCTTGGTAAGATTGCAAAATGCTATTCTTGGATTCTAATGCACAAATTCTGTTTTTTTCACGGTTACTCTCAAGTTTCCCTGACTCAAGGGAATTCAAGCCACGGATAGGACTTCACTCTGCAAGCTAAACTAAGTAAGATATTAAAATTAAGCATTTTAGCAAACTGCAAATAGGAATTGCCTTCTTCAGAGTCTTTCCAATGTCTTGGCTTTCCTCTGAATGCCTGGTAGGAATCTGAATTCCCACTTCTACACATTACAGCTTTCTGATACTGGCAGCCAAGTAACAAAGTTTGCATGTGAATCCCATGCACAGAGTTTGGTTTTGAAGCTTTGAATTCGAACTGATACCTGTATTCAACTCTCATTTTGTAACTCACAACTTCTTGCCTACACATTTCACACAAGGAGAAGTTGCAAGGCTCATTCCTTCCTCCACATTTTAAAACTAGGATGAATTCCAAGTGTGCATAATTGCTAGATTATTTAGAGTAACACTTTTATTTCTTTCTTGAGGTGTTTGATATCATATTATACTGCTTTAATTTTAAGGTATTATTTGTGATGTATTCCTAGTGATGCCAAAAGGACCTAAAACATATGGTTAGGTGCCCTTTTCAGCATTTCTACTCATATAAATAAATAATTCAATGTGCCAGAGTCCATCCTATTAACTAGAGAAGATACACAATCTGCTAGAATTGTCTTTCTCAAATTATTTGCTGTAGACAGTGTATATTCTGATTCTGCATGCCTTCTAGCATTATACATAAAAGAAAATTATTTCCCAGAATACTGTGTCAGAAGCATTCACCAGCAAATTATTTTCTAGATGGTTGATTTTCCACTATGTTGTAAAATACACTATGTTGAAAATGTGTAAAATACACATTTTCCACTATGTTGTAAAATACAAAAGCCTTTTACTTAGGCTGAGATTGGCTGACACTCAATGAAAGCCTGAAGAACATCATCATGGCTTGAGAAGAAAAGAATGCAGAGAGCTAGAGGGAAAGAGACAACAGTTAAAAGAACAATCTGAGGAACCCTCATAAGCACACTAAAGCATAGAACAACATAGCAAAAAGAATACAAAACCCCAGTTATAGCCTCTCCCATGAGACCCATGAGAGGGACATACCACCACCCCCAAACCACCTGGAGAAAAATCTGAGGTATTTTGCTCAGAGTCCTGTGTCAGATAAATTCACAGTTAAGGGTGATGCTGCTTCCATTTGTAGGCTAGCTGGTCCTGCCTCTTCCTACTTAAAATTTTCAAAAGGAGTATGGCAGTTCTCA